GGGCCACCTCAGGCCGGACCGGAGGAAACCGGTGAACGGCGCGGTCGGTATCGGGCGGCCCCCGCGGTGCCACCCCCCAAACCTGCCGAGCTCAGGGCGGGGGGCTGTCGGGGCTACCTTCTCCTATTTAAAGTGCTTCTCGGGTTCCTTTTGTTTCTATAAGCATCTGGTGTCTCAATGGTGCCGAACCGTTGTGGACTGTTCTTAATATAATCGCAGTGTTACTTGTTTGGCAAATATTTAATGTTATGTTGCTGAAGGCTATGTCAGCATTTTGGAGTTAATAAGCTTCGTGTATAGTACTCTATAGATACCTTGGAAAACTTCCATATTTTGCCAAGAACATCTTTGAATTTGGAACGGTTGTATCTTAAGTTTGTTCTAGTTGCTTTATCTAATTTCCATGTTAATTTTCCGCAGTATGAGTGGGATCACTCGGTTCACAAAAGGAAAAGACTCACCCGTGTGAAAAGGTCTCTGGTGTACTACCTGAAAGGTAGAGAGGTCAGGATGCAGAATGAGTCCAGCTATCACCGCGTATTGCATGGATATGCAGCCCAGCAGCTTCCCAGCCTCCTGAAGGAGAGAGAATTTCACCTTGGAACCCTTAATAAAGTGTTTGCCTCCCAGTGGCTGAACCACCGACAAGTGGTGTGTGGGACAAAATGCAACACAGTGAGTGCCACCTCTCTTCCCTCTGTTAATTATTCCACCCCCCACCCCAAATGATGCTTACCATAATCAAAGTACGTAGACTGCCAAGGAGAATATTAGTAAGCACTTAGGAACAGCGTCAAAATCACACACAATTAATTTTGAATGAAGGTCATGCTTAGTGATGACCCGTTCTCATTTGAAAATACGGCACTGTGCAGAAGGCTGCAAACCCAGACGTGGCCTGTTCGTGCAGCATCTGTCTAATCTGTGCAGAGACATTTACATCTGTTTGTGGGATGGAGAGCAACAATGGGGTCGGATCTTTCATCTTGTCCTGCAAATGGAAAGTTAATGACAACACTTAGCTTTGCTCATGCCTGGCTGAAGTTGCTAGTAAGACTCTTTTTTCATTATGCTCAGTCCAGCACGTTTTGGTTTTATATATGGTTCTGTGTTGATGATTTTGAAAAGTTACTACAAAACTGAAAACTGTGATTAAACTCCAGATATTAATCAGAGCAGCTAGAAATGTTCCAAGCTTAAAAAATGAATTTCAGATCTTCAGGATATCCTTTGATTGTTGACTTCATGATTTTTCACTCTAAATCTGTTTCCAGTGTTCAAATAACTTCTCTCGTTTACCTACCTTTATATTCTTCAGCAAAAATTGAAACCTCTTCAGACTCGTAAAGTGGTGCTTTGGATTTGAAACGTTAGAGCAGAATATTAAATTTATGTCTTATGTGATTAATAAAAAGAGAAGATCATACTTCTTAAGTAATATTCTTTCTGCCAGAGTTAGCAGCCCAACTTCATTGGCTGAGATTGCAGTTTCACCTATGAAGTTCTGATTGAATTAATGCGAAATCCCAAATTTGTTCTTTGCGAGTCGCTTAGTGCCACGGAAATGAATCAGGTGTTGTAAGGAATGTATAGATCAAGCAGCTCTTAAACCTCAAAGTACATCAATTGGCATGATTGTTTCTTTACCTCAATAGTTTTTGTGCCAAAGCCATGCTCAGTGGTCTGACTTGCAAGGGACAGTGGTTTTTGTTTTTTTTTTGGATGTTCTGTTATTCTTCGTAGTTACATAGTGGGAGACTTCATACAGTAGCCTTTAAGCAAGGCCTAGCTATATAAGTAAAACAATCTTTTAACAGGAATGAGCCTGAAATAAAATCTCTCTGCTTGCTTTCTCCACTTGTGTTCATTGCCTCGGCCGGTCAGCAGCCAGCACTGTTTGTGGAACAGCTTACAGGTTGAAACACAAGCTCTCAAAAATCTTGCTTACTCTAGCAAGATGACTGCGTGTTTTATAGAGCTGCAACAATTTTGCTGTGTTCTGTAACTTCTGTAGTTCTAGTGCTGCTGCTGCAGTGAAGATAAATGAGCAAGTGCGTTGGTAACGCAAACTTGCAGAAAATTGTTTGAGACCAAACAATCGCGGAACTGAAGAGAGATTCAACCATATTGTTGTTCCCACTGCATACACTGCAGTGAAGTGTATGCTTTCACAGGTGGACTTAACGTTACAGATGGACCTTGTCTTTTATTAAGTAAAATATGATGATTATTAAAGAAATCACTTCAGCATTGTGGAAGATTGTCTATGAATTATGAATACTGTAATAAATTTAGCTTGGTTGCTTTGTGTTCACATTTGAACAAGTAGAGCGTTAAACTCTACACTCTAATTATGAGATTTCTCTCTCTCTCATCTCCTGAGTAAGTGACCTAATGAAGAAGAACTCCTTTGCTGATTCTCATACGCTGAAGTTGTGGCATTTAAGTTGGGAGTAAATCTAAAACAACTTACTTGACTTTAATGGGGTTTGCTGCATTGGAGTGGCACCTAAATAAAGTTAATGCAACAGGAAAATATAAACCATAGCAGTTATTTTAATCAAAGTTTGAATGTGGCACGGAGAGCTTTTAGCATTTAATTATAAATTGCCCTTGGCTATACTGTGCCAGAAGGATTCACTATTTTTAATAACAAAACAAAAATAACACTCCTGTCATAGGGGAGTAGGTTTGGTTTTAGTCACTTTGACGGTACTAGACTCTATAAACACTGATAGAAATGTGAAGCTTTCTGTCAATTGTTCATTTAAAATGAGGATTATAAGTTATTTAATTGTTTGAGGTAACATTTTATCCTTAAGAATATCCCTGGGTATGATTGTGTCTATGAAATAACTATTGTTTTCCAGTGGATCCTGGTGCTTACAGTTGGGCAGCCTAAATCAGAAATTTAGGTTTCTTAAAGGTGCATGGTTCTTCTGATAGATTTAGAATTATGGAAGCTATATAAGCATTCAAGTGTCTAAAAATTCAAACGCAGTCACTTGGGCCTGGTTGAGGTAGGATTCATGTTTGCAAGAATCTCCTAGATCCTGTATGCAATGGGCTTCTTGATGTTTTTCAAATTCAAATCAATGAGTAGGGAAACCTCTGAGAGGTGCAGGTGTTTAGAGTGTGTCACTAGGGCATCTAAATTACCAAAGGCTGATACCATGAAGTCTCAGAAGAAGATACTGCCTGTAATCAGCATCTTCTGTGCAAGCTTCTTAGAGAAACTTTGAGACTTATGTAGGAGACAAGCTTATGGCAAACAAAAACACTGAACACGAGATTGCTGTAGTTTTCTTTTTTTTTTTTTTTACTATTTCAGGAAATGATGAATAAAGCAGCTTCCAAAAAGTTGTTCCAATAATCATTTTGCAGCTTCTTTTGATCCATTAGTTCTGCGTATGTGTTCAGGACATAATTCTTTTGCTAACTGTGAAGTTAAGGATGAAAAAATACAAGAGCTGTAAATCATTCCCTGAATACAAGAAGCTTATTAGTTTCCAGTTGCTTGGGAATATAATTGCCTGGAATCTAATATTTTTATTTGCTTTTTTTTTTCCCCCTCAGGCAGACCTGATAGATGTATTTGTGTTTAAAAACCTCCTTACTAAATGCTCTCTTCTGTTTTCTTTTGTGGCTTTTCCAAGGCGTGAATGGGTTGGCTTTTGAATGCTAGCTGATACCTTTTCTTTCTTTGGTAGATTCATGTGTTGCTTTGGGTGCCCTGCTGCAAATCACCAGCTCTTGTTTCTTAGAGATTTCAAATTTGTGCAAGAGATTCCATGTCTATTCCGTGCATCTCATGCAATTATAACCTACTCTTGTAGTCTTAGGGTTGTAGTGGTGAGAACACAAGGCACAGTTACTCTTACATCTGTGAATATGGAGTCTCTATGGGGAGAATTATTTCCACTTGCTTTGTGAGTTCACATACCTTCTGGCTTTGCACATGTAATGAAAAATCAGGAAGACTGCTCATTTCTGATCCCAGGAAGGAAATGAGATGTCATGCTCCTGTTACCAAAAATCGTAACCAAGAGAACTCTCTAAACCAAATCTTAGTTTAGAAAGCCGACATTGGTTTATTACAGCACTGGGTGCAAGGGGGATCGCTCCTCCAAGCATGCACACCGAGTAAAATTAAGATACATATTGTATACCATGAGACATTTGCATATTCATAGTACACTACATATTCACACTTAGGATTGGTTATAAGTTTCTCGCTTCTAATGTAAATTAGTACGCAACCCTCAGTAAGCACTAATGAAGCCTCTCTATTAACTGTGCATGCTCCCCAAGCCGGGTTTTGCCCTCTTTCGGGGGGGCCATTTGAGTTGGAGGTGGCGATCTCCCACTACCACAATTACCTCTGTCCTGCTTTCAGCTACTTTATTGTTGATGTCTGACGTTCTATCAGCTTGGCTCCCTTCATGTCTAGAACTCCCTCTCTTGAAGGCCTCTCTCCACATTCTTGCCTACTGCCTTAAATAACGGCGTCCCTTTTTTATTATTTGTTCTTTTTCTTGATGCTTCCAACCTTGAGATGCCAGGCTAAAGAATGCGTCTGCTTTTCTGCTAATTTAGCTGAGTTATTTAACCCTTTGGTATCACTCCTGCAGTTTGTAACTCTACTCAAAAGTCCACTGAACAGTCACCAAAACTCAGGGTAAATAAACCTCTGGTGCCTGTAATTGACACCTCCATCCACCTTTTTTTTTCAGTGGCTTGTGAGTAAATAGCCAGGTGGTGTTTCTTGTCTCAAGAGTGGTTTTCTGTTAACTGCATGTGATACCCATCAGAGTCTGGTAGTTTCTGTGACCGTGATGGTGTGGGTGGTAGAGATGCCCTTTAGCAGGCAAAGTCTCTCACTTCTCTATCCTTTGCCATCTGTTGACATGTGTTAACTGTCTGCCAGCTTCCTAAAATTAACCACGGAGGGCAAGACACAAATAAAAACTGACAAATGTGATTTTGACAGCAAACAAATTCAATGACATCAAAGTGTGTGCCCATTAGCTAGTAGTGCTTCAGAGTTTCATGGCAAGGTGGAGTGTCTGGTTGCGTGGTCTTGTCTCTAGAAATGTGAATTCAAAGTCAGTCAACTTGCTGGCTGCTTTTACTGTTGCGCACTTCTCAGATGGTTTCTTTATCTTCAGGATTGTTTTTCTTTAGACCCTTTCAAGGAGGATGTGTAAGGCTGTTACCTACTTGTCACCTGTGCTGCACAACCTTTGAGTAGGTTTTGTGCTAAGATTAGTGTGTGTTCTGATCACCACTGGAATGGAGACATACCAGTTTGATAGCTTAGTCTTTAAAGAGTCCATGTTTCTTTGGGGTCTTGGCGTGTACTAGTAAATCTGTATTGCCATGGAACGGAAGAACCTTATGCCAAGTGTTTTATGAACATGAAAAAGATGGTTACAATCTGAATAAAAGGCAAGTCTGAGAAGACCTGGGAAAAATCAAAGAATGCTACTTAGTGTGACCAACAATAGTATTGATGTAATCACACTGTAAGCATTGTCTTGCTTTTGTTGTTCTGTTAGCAAAAAAAAAAAATTGAAGGAGAAAAATGATGTCATTTTCCATCTTGGCTGAGGGTGAAATTTTTGAGACCACCTTCAGCTGGTCTGGAGTTGTGCTGTTGCAGAATGGGATGTTCCCACCTGCTTGTTCTTGCTGACACTGATGTGTGTGTGTGGCTGGGGAGTCAGCTGGATCAGCTTGCTGCTTTGTGTTCAAACAGGTTTTCTTGTAGGGTTAGTTTTCACCAAAGGCAGAGATATGATCCAGCTGCCCGCACAGCTACCTGTAGTTGCTGTAACAAGGATGGTCAGAGTGGGTGGGTGAGGAAGAAGTATGTGGATTCTCAAAGACTGGCCTAAGCTGATAGTGAAACTTCATTGTGATTGACTCTCTTTTAGTGAGTCTATTTTTAGCAAGGCAATGTGTCTATCTTGAGTTTCTTTTAAATGTTGGTATGAATGACAAGAATGTGTCCGTGATTTCTGACAGCAGTATGTGAATAACTGGGGTGCAGAGTGTCTTGTGAGCACTTCTGGGAAAAATAAGCAGCCTTTCATGCATGTTCTTTGTGCCTTGCACATCTACATCCATCCTGCTTGTGTAATAAAAACATGCTGTAGCTCAGGGTGGCACCCTTTGTTTTTGTTCCAATTGATTTGTACAATCAACTAAGACATCGGGCTGCCTGTTCGTCTGCTGTCCTGTGTGCAGCGGCAGCAGCGGCGGACATTGAGAGAGTCTACGTGCTGCCTTGAAATGGCATTTGGTAGGCCTGTTTTTTAATCATGCTGTATAAAGTCAATGCTTTCAGTTAAAGATGCATGGGAAGGGCACTTACATTTGATGAATTGGTAGCTTTGGGTTTGTTTGATTGGTTTTTTTTCCCCCTAAACTGTTGTCCCTGAAAGGCAGGTTAAAAAATGGAAGTAGACTTGATGGAAGAGCCTGGCAAACTCTTTTGCTCTCAATATTGTACATAAGAGAAGGATGGATTTTTGTGGTTCAGACTGTGGTCCTCAGATACCTGATTCCCTGCCACAGCCTTTATTTTTGGCAAGTTGATTAGTGAAGTTCCTTAGTCGACGAAGAGGGTCAGTTTCTTGATTGACTTGATAGTAAGCAGTTGGAAAACAGGACGGTCACATAGTAATTGTATGGGAGCCATTTGCCAAAATAACTTCTCACTACCTCTGTAAAGCAAAAGAAAAGTAAGTATACAGCTAGTAATTTCATGGGTGTGAAAAGTAGGGCCAGATCATGAATATTCATTACTATTACAAATGTAGTACCTAGCCATGCCTGTCTGCCTTGATCCTTTAGTGACAGCACTGTCGAAAGCAGTACATCTGAATTGCTTAAAAACAAATAAAAAAGAGGGAAGACAGATTTCTCTTTATCATGTCATCCAGCCTGTTTCTTTGTTAAAACAAGGCTGTCCTGAGAGGATGCAATAGCTGAGTCTGCTCCATTTCTCACAGGTGAAGTGTGGGCCTTGGACTTCTGGCAGATAGCCAAAGCAATCCTGGCTTGGTAGATCCTGGATGTTAAGTTATTTGGCGTGCTACTGGCTGACGTGCGTATGTTTTACAAGCAGGAATAACTGAATTATGTGCAAAGCTTAAAATCAAGGGACAAATACGCATAGTTCACCGTTTGGAGGTTGATGGGGGTTTACTGCATCCAGGAGTTGTTTTTGGGGCTGGTTTTTAGTTTCTGTATAATGAGTAGCTGGAAAAGAAGTTCTTATTCCTGCTTGAGATAAAGAAGAAAATAGACGTGTAGTTTAGCTATCAGGACTTTGTCAAGACTCTTAGAGTCCAGGCTGTTTTGGAGTTATTTGCAGATGTACTTACTTCAAGAGTAGTGAAGGTACCAGTTTGCTGGCAGAATTAGCCCAATTTCAGTTTTTTTTTCTTCTGGTTTATGTCATTGTATGCTGCAGTTTTGGCTGCACTTGTTTAAAAGCAGTCAGTTATTTTGTACTTTATTTACTCTAATGTCTTTAAAACTCTTAAAACCATATTTAAATTTTCTGCATTCTTAGCTTGGTGCCTACCTTGTTTCTTAACATTTCTCCCTTCTTGGCTTTAGAAGCATATTTGCAATTGTTTGGCTTCTCTTGGCTTCTGTGTGCTGGGTTACAGGGAAGATTTCTTGGCAATCAATGGTGCAGCTTGCAATTGTAAGCTTCTGGCTTCCTGTCCTGCCCCAGGTGATGCAAGACCCCTAGCATATGCAGACAGCGGTTGCTTATGTTATTCTAGGGACGTGGTGGTTGTTTTTAAACTACCCACAGCATGCCAAGTCACGTACCAAGCAAGGGGAGAAGTTACTGTGTAGAACTTTACAGCTGCAACTACGAAGCCAGTTCCTTAACTGCGCGAAGTTTTTTGGCCTAAGAACAGCTGCTGTTCTGGTTATGGTAATACTGTGCAACTGGAGGAGAAAAGTGAGGAAATGACAAAGCAATTCAAGGGCTGACAATGGATTAGAGTGGTTTACAGGCCGGTGAAAGCACTGTGTCTTGTTGCTGCTTCTGAGAATATCTTAATTTGGAAACTTTTTATAGGAAAAAAATGTTGAGGTTGGAGATCCAGGGCAGAAACGTGAGGGACTGATACTTCGGCATTGTGTGTTTCTAAATTCTTTACCTTCTCAGCCCAGTTAGTCAGAGTTTAGCTAAAGGAATTTTTCATTAGAGTAAGTCTTTATTAACATCGTATCAAACATGGATGTATGACAGTGGTGTCAGACTGGAAAATGTGAAGGGTTTTTAATTTCAGTCCTCCTACCTGTTGAGATGCTCTTCAAAGTCTGAATCTCTTACAGAGTTTCGTGAGTCTGTGGACATCCTGAGGTGTAGATATGCTTTCCTAATTAGCACTTCTGCTGCCAGCTTAGGACTTGCAGATGATACCTGCAAGCCTTAATCTTAGGTACTTAACTGTTGATTGTGTGGGGTTTTTTTCAGTAGTTGAAGGAGGATAGTGGAGGGAATTGGGCATTTCTACTGGAATGAAATATTGAAGAGGAAAAGAGGATGTGGAGTCATAGGGGAAGGACCAGGAAGGCTTGAGAGGAGAGGGAATTACTGGTCCTGATCCTTGAGTGCAGGTGTTAATTTTCAGGGACATGGTAAGGGCAGAGGGGCTGCTGTGTACATTTGTGTTTTTACCAGCTGTCTCAGGCAGTGAACTGCACTGTAAGGCTTGGGAGAAGTGAGAAGTGCCTCCCTCCTACTCAGCTGCACTTCAGCTGTTGCCTGACCCCACACCTGCATGCAAAATAAAGAACTAAACATGAAAATTCAGTCCCTGTAGGAACAGTCACCTGTTTGTGCAAGACTGCTGCCTATAGAGGAAGATCAGTTGCAGGCTGAAGGTGATGCGTAATTCTAGACACAACACACATAGTGACAAATAGATTTCAGCTTTCTGTGCAGAGTTGAGTTTGAGATACCATACTTTATCAGGTTTTGGTTTGACATTAATATTCTGCTAGTTCAGTACATCAAGAATAATAGATAAGCTGCTAAATTCTGCTGGTTTTTTTTTTACGCTTATTAAAGAACAGATCTATGGTCTGTGAGTTCACCAAAAGCAGCTTGTATGTGTAACTTCCCTTTGAGAACCTCTAGATTTCTCTTCTGTCCTTCTAGAAATGTCTGACAAAGGATTTCAGAACAGTTTCCTTGAGGAAATTACATTGAGTTTTCCTTTGTTGTCTTCTCCATCTTGTTCACTTCAGAGGCTTTGAGACTATGTTCTTCAGGGTTGTGTGGAATTTAATTATCCTGGGCAGTGGTTCTACATCGCTTTCCTTAGTGCCAAGTCAGCTTCAGATCCTCCATTTGCTTGCTTCAGTCATGTTTCTTCACAGGGCTCTGTCCCCTCTGCTATACCTATTTTGCTGTTAGTGTAGCTGCGCTCTGAACATCATTGGTGAAATGATCCAGCACAAGAGCCTCCCAAATGAAAGTGCATTGTGGCAGGCCATGTAAACCTTTGTTCTGGTTTAGATTGTAACCCTATAGTTGTGTGCATTTGAACTGGCATGACTCTGGGTATAATGTCTGTTTGAAGAGTTGTAAGGCTCTGAGTTTTCTGCCAAGGGAACAGTGACGTAGAGCTCCAAAGTACTCTAGTTACTATTCTCTGTGTATCACCAGAAAATAAACTCCAATTATATAAAGTATTAGTTTGCCAAAGCCAAAAATTCATGGTAAGTATCTCAACTGGGAGGCAGGAGAGTTGTGCTAAGCCCGCTGGGGCTTACTGGCTGTTTTGAGGTGGGTCTCTTTCTCACTCTGATATGGGGAAACTGTAAAACAGTATTGTTTTGTCACAGTATTGATTTGTCAGAGTATTGAACAGGGAAAAGAGTTTTAGATTCAATGGTTTTGTTAACTGGTAAACCTCCCATGCCAAATTTCTCAGCCAAATGGGATGATTGAAGTAAAACCCACTGTAATTAAGTTACTTTACTTGTTTTAAGAATGAATTTATGCATTTTTCAGCCATTCTTGCAGCATTTGTGGATTCCAACTTCAAAAGAATGTCAGTTCCAAACAGGGAGGATATTTGACCATCTTGTTTATCTTACCTATTTGCTGATGACTTACATCTCCTGTTTTTTCCCCCAGTTATTTGTAGTAGATGTCCAGACTGGTCAAATTACCAAGATTCCTATTCTGAAAGATCGTGAACCTGGCATGGTGAACCAGCAGGGATGTGGTATTCATGCCATTGAGCTCAACCCCTCGAGGACCCTTCTGGCCACAGGTGGAGACAACCCCAACAGTCTTGCAATTTATCGTCTGCCTACACTCGATCCTGTCTGTGTGGGAGATGTAAGTGGGAGTATTTGGAAAAAGTTTATTCTGTCACTTAGAAGAATTGCCACTTTGAAGTCCCTAACATCAGAGCAAGGTTAGGATTTGGGAGTCTTGTAGTGGAGAGTGAATTTCTGAAAGCTTGAAAACATTCCTGATTAAGTTGTCTTTTTTGACGAGATATCTTAAATGTGAGTGAGTACATAAACATGTGAGACGATTCGCAGGGTTCTGAGTTGGATTTCTTCTTCCTCACCCTCATTCAGGTCTAATTCTGATTACTTTTAAGCACGGAAAAGGTAACAAAATCCTAAATGTTAAAGTCTAACTGTGGTGATGAACTCTGAAACTAGTTTTCGTAAAAAAACTCTTTTGAGAAATGGAAAAGATTATACAAGTTGTTCAGATTTTCCCCTTCTCCAGTGCAGCTTATGTATGTAGTATTTCAGAGGCGGAACTTGGCTTTGAAGATTGATTCTAACCCAGTGGCTTATAGCAGTTTGATAGACTCTGGTACTGCCTCTATTTCTGAAGGATCATGAGGCCTTTTCAAAATAGCCAGTCTTAAAAAGAAAACCGGCTGAAATTAGTATGGTGGTGTCCTGTAAGCACTTCTTTTATTTCTCCTTTTTATTCAGGGCTTCACATAGACGTTAACTACAACAGCAGAGGTCAGGTTAGAGTTTCTGCAGTAGCAGATAACCAGCTGCAGGAAGGCTCAACTCTGAAGATTTGTATGACTTGTTATTCATATGCATGCTGCTGTGACTTTACAGCTTTTCAAATGGAACTAGAGCCTTATGGTCTTTTTTTCCCCCACAGGTTTCTCACCTGCTAAAGAAAAGTTTCTGAAGTAATAGTCTTGAAAAATTCATCTGTAGGTCCTATATTGTAAACATAAGATTTTGGTTACTATTTATAGTAGGGATGTGCATTTGAAGAAATAAAAGTATGTAGCTATTTTGCAGAAGTAAGGAATACTGCTTTCAAAGTGGAAAATCTAAGGAAAAGTCCTTAGAATTGAGATAAATTTGTCCTTGGTCAGAGACCTGTTTTTCCATCACCTAATTGCTCTCTCTTAATTACACACTTCAAAATCAAAAAAGTTAAAATTACTGTTAGGTACTTAAACTGCTCCAGCTTGATACTGGAATCTTATCTGTATGTTTTTAGTTTATGTCTGCCCTTCTGAGTTCGTACTAAAAATCAAAGTGAAGAAAACTTGCGTGCTTTGAGACTACTCTAGAGTATAATGGCACAGAAAAATCTGTCCTTTTTTTTTCTCTTAGGATGGACATAAAGACTGGATATTTTCAATTGCATGGATCAGTGATACTATGGCTGTTTCTGGTAAAGTCAATTTTTTCTCTATTTTTTTTCTCCTCTCCAGAATTTTATACTGATGTACAGGACTTGATAGGTCTTAGGGAAGCACTTTTATCGGGGCATTTGAAACCACTTGGAGCTACCGTGGCTGTTTAAACCTTCTTGGTCTTAGTACAATGCTTCACTTTATTTGTAGTGCCCTGGTCTAGATTTGATTTTTCTAGTATCAGAGGGAATATTACTGTCTTTCTGGTTGGTGTTGCCATGAGGGGATCTCTAAACACAATGAGTTACAGGGAAGGGTTCCACACAAGAAGAATAATTTCAAGAGGGGTGTTGTCTGCTAATAACATTGGAATACAGCAGAGCAATATTGGTTTCCTGAAATCCTGTGAAACACTAATTAATGAAAATTCAGTTTCTTTTGTCAAGCTATCAGTACAGTTGTGTGTGTATGCATGTGTGTATATATATATATGCACATATAGTATGGCAGTTAAATCAGAAGGCTGTAAAAGAAAAGGTCAGTTAATGACTTTTTAGCAACTAGTTGGATAATTAGTGTAACTTCACAAAATACTACTTAGGTAAAGGCAGCAATAGTAATATGCTGTTGCATTAATTTAGTAGTTTACTGTCTGTCTGTGCCAACAGGGTCTAGTATGCTGTACAAGGAGGTGTAAAACTGTAGGTGACAGAACATCATAACAATCTCTTAAAGATCAAATACTTGAATTGTTAGTTTGGTAAGATTTTTTTTTTCACAAAACCAAAAAGCCAATCCTGGAATTTGATTTTGAATTTAATATAAATGTTGATCCATGCAAGTCTCCAACCCAAATATCTGCATTAAAAAACCATTGTCAACTCGTAAGCTTGAAGAGAACAGCAGAGATGATTAGATATCCAAGGGAAAGATAAGGACCCGATGGAGTACAGGCACAGCATATGAGATTGATCTGTGCTGCTCTCAGTGTCTTCTGTGTGCTCAGAGGTGGAGGTGTGAGTAGACTGCTGTGTCCTCTGTTGTATGATGCTTAGAGCAGGGTGTAGGTTCTGCTCTCCAGACCTGAGACACCGGGGAAAACTTGTTGAAAGCAATTAGCAAGTCTGATTGCTAAACTGAGTTCCTCAGAACTTTGCTGATGATCCTAATCAGGAGGAAACAAAGACAACTAACTTCTGACGTTGTTTCAATCTTATAGATTTCAATTGCATGCATATCTGGAAGTGTGGCACAGAAATATTCAAACTCTGAACATGGAGGATATAGCAAATACCTTTTATCTGAATTAAGAAACTAAATGCAATTCTTTTGTGACTTTCTTGGGGCAGGTTAAATGCCACAGGGAGAAAAAAGGGCATTTGGTCCCATGGCAGAGCACACTGATCATATAGCCTGAGGGATTTGGCAGTATATTTTCTCACTGGTGTCAAAATTGTTGAGAGAGTACAAAGAGGACTACATACTTCATTATTCCCCTTGCTCGTGTTA